TAATAAATCAACATTGTTATGAAATCCCGTATTAAATTCAGTGCAGTCCTCATATATTGCGCTCAATTTATTTTATGTAATCTAAACCGTCAATTGGGGAAAATACCAAGATAAAGCCAAGCGGCTTGTAGGAATATTTTTTACGCTCCACCCGAACGATTGCATTTTTTACGTCCGTGGCGCGGCACACACGATTCACTCGGTGCGACCACGCATCCTTCAGAATCAATAAATCTGTGTCACTTACCTCAAAAAAGCCAACTTCTTGGATTAATAAAAACCTTCCGACCAGTGTCAGGATTATGTACACTGTACTTCAATACTGTATATTGTGTATATATGTCTTTCCTTTTACGTGATATCTACGAAACAGAGCACGTCATCACGCCGATGAAACCAAACATCACTGTATGCTGTCTCGTAAAATGGAGGTAAAAAACGCTGTTCCATTTAACGTGTACATTCCCACTAAAATGATTGTTCTGTTGTGTCGCGAAGGCAACGATCCCCCTGATACGTGTAGCGAGCTGGCTGTTTATTCTGAGCAGCACACATTTTTTTGCGTAATTCTGTTTCAATGACATCTGACAGGCACTATATAGTATAACCAGTTAGTTGGTCATGACGTGGTTGTCATGACAATGAATCATAATGCTCGCATGCTTATTGGTCCTTATGGAGGCAGTAACACGCACTAAGCATGTGCTTTATCGTTACACGTAAAACGTTGATAGAAACGTACATTTGTAGAAAGTACACGCGTCCCTGTGTTGTGGTCCATGACACGGAACATTCAGAAACTCCCTGCAACGAGTTTTTGAAATATAAATGTCTTGACAGAGATTGTAATAATCACTTTAGAACTCTATGATGCATAACACAATGGTAACTATGTTCAGTTAATAGCATTATCGGAGTGGATTTATGTTCGACCAGTGAAACTATAGTACATACTTCCCCGTGTCGACTCGCACCATATAGCGTCCAGAGAACGTATAATTGTGACCCAGGGAGATAAGCATTACCGCGGATTACGGGAACTTGTTTTAAAAAGGGTTTACCATGCTGTAAGATCATTTTCGCACGCCAAAGTCAGTTTATTCAGCCGCTCTTCAAGTTTTTAGAGATGAGGTAATTCGATAATTAAACTTTCTACTATTACATTTGCCATAGGTTACGGCAATTTCGAATGTAAGTATGTACTAGAAGCGCGTCTAATCAAATATGTGTATTTCTCTGCGGCCAAATTAATTGTTTTTTGTGTCAAATAAAACACAATCACGCAAAGATTCGGGTTGTGGGGTGAGTATGTTCACATCGAATTCACGAAACCACGTGACGTCTGTGGAAGATAAATAAATGAATAAATGAATAAATTCTGAATTGTAAAAATATACGTGGACAGGTACTAGTCGCATATTGAAATATTTGTATGAATGTTTAATGAATTTCTGAAACGAATCTAAAATTAACGTTTTCAGCACCAAAGACAGCTTTTGTTACATTTCAAAAACATTCGAGTGGTTTTTGGTTAAGATTTATATAATCGATGAGATGGAAGCATTTTCTCAATTTTTCACAACAATGGATATGACGTCACACTTTACCCATAATCATTTGCCGGGGAATATTGGTGAAAATTCGAATATCTAGAGAAAGAAAAGTGATATACAAAAACTGTAAATTGCAGTCTCCTACACTTCCGGAGGTCTTTCTTTTGGCTTGTTTTTCCCTTTAAACTCATTGGATAGTCAGAAACGTATATGGGTTTTAAAACACTGTAGGACATCACACGGTTTGTTTGCAATAATCCCTTGACTTTATTGAAACGGGTTAATATATGAATAGCACATTTCAGAGATAATATTATCGGTGAGTTGATAGTTTTCCCTCTGGGTGTACCAAGAATATACCATGGCAATGGAATGGTGTCCATGTTGAGTAGCTCGCGGGTCATTTTATTGAGTGTTTTAAGAAAAAGAGCCAGTCTCGGACATTCAACAAAGATGTGCATCAAATCATCGTGTTCGTTACAGAAAAGACATTCATCTGACGTACGTATTTGAGATTTTAATAAATAACCACCTGTAGTATATGCAGCGTGCAAGAAACGCCACTGTAGAATGTTGTCCTTTTTTGTGGTTGGAAGAAGGTAGCAATCTGTGAAATTAGGTTTGTCGGCAGGGTTGAGTTAACAGAACATTATCACTCTGTGTGATTGCTTTTGAGAGTTTTTAGTAGAAGAAATTTGTATATTCACCCCTTGTCAAATGTGTAGTCAGCAGACAATTTAAAGCGGGAGGGTCGTCTCCTGCGCACGCGCGGGAATTGAGTCCCAAGCGATGATAACAACACACGCTAAACACGCAAAGGCTCATGGGTAGACGTATGTTTATAAACATTGACACGCTATGGCCATCTGACGCATGCGTAGGTGACGACACCACCGCTTTAAGAGAATGTCATTGCCTTCATCAATAAAAATTAATTCAAGTGTGTAGTTATTGTCAGGTATTTGTATTTCACTTGTTGTATTGTGATTGTTAATAATTCATTCCCATTGAGTTGGTATGGCTCGGTGTGTAACGTCAAAGGCCATATCAAGCACTCTGAATATATACTAGTAGTACACAAATCATTACATTAAATGTAGTAAAGTGTAAACAATATTTCATAACTTTGTTTTTTATAGTGTTTCCAAATTTGTAAAGAAAGTTCCCGATTTCCTCAGAAGATTTAAATTCAAAAGAATATCGATGACTTTAAAAAGCGGTGACATTAAAAAAATGCTACGTGTCGAGTTAGCAAAATAACTTCTATAGCTTATTATTAGACATCTAACGAAAATGCCAATAATCTCATTGAATGAAAATGCTTCTTGAAATAACGAAAATAGCAACTTGCGTACGTGAAAATATCAATGCATTGTAGCAACTAAGAAAACGATGTAGATAGACCGTATGATCAGATTGAATAGTCACGTTTCTCTTAGTCAAGTTCACCTGAATGAAGTACCCATCAAATTCAAAAGAACCGCCCCGTAATGTGGGGGTTACTCGAAACAAAACACGCTGTATGTTTGGATGTCACCGGCAAACATCGAATAGTTCTCCTAGCACGCCTGAACTCTGAGGTACAATAATTCAAGGTCGGTTTTTCAAGGTTTTCACAATTGTAAATGTCGGTTCATTTCTTCGGAGCCAACGAAAATAATTTAATGATGACGAATTGGAATTTGAACCGAGAAAATAAAACATATATTGGTATAACTTACTTTTTAGTTCGCCGCTTAGTGATTTGTACTGCAAATATCAATGAGCTCACCGAGAGTATTTAAAAATACCATAGTCAACATCGTCTTCAAATACAGAAAAATGAATGCAAAAAGTCATACCCTACCAGTAAGTAAAGTACTGACAACAAGCAGCACACAATGAATAATTCATTGCGAAGGCTGACATAATAATAGTAGTAATATTTGGTAATCGTAGTTCTATGAAACTATCAAAATAGCTGATCATTTCGAGCGATAACTCCTTACAGATAGCACAAATATTCCCAAAGCTGACATCTTGCTTTTCTTTTTGAAAGTCAAGAATAGTATCAACAAATTTAGTGCGGTTCCCGTATGTGAGCAGGGTGGAAATATGATGAGTGTGGATCCCGTATGTGAGGAGAGTGGGCGATGTGATGATAGTTGATCCCGTATGTGAAGAGGGTGGGCAATGAGATAAGTGTGGATCCCACATGTGAGGATGGTGAGAATATGATGAGTGTGGATCCCGTATGTGAGGAGGGTGGAAATATGATGAGTGTGGATCCCGTATTTGGGGAGGGTGGGTGATGTGATGAGTGTGAATCCCGTATGTGAGGAGGGTGGGCAATGAGATAAGTGTGGATCCCATATGTGAGGATGGTGAGAATATGATGAGTGTGGATCCCGTATGTGAGGAGGGTGGGAATATGATGAGTGTGGATCCCGTATTTGGGGAGGGTGGGTGATGTGATGAGTGTGAATCCCGTATGTGAGGAAGGTGGGCAATGTGCTGAGTATGGATCCCGTATGTGAAGAGAGTGGAAATATGATGAGTGTGGATCTCGTATGTGAGGATCTATTCCAGTGGAGTAACTCCATTTCAAACAAAGTGAGTCTTACCATATACGCGAGGGGGGGGGGGGACTGTTGACAACGTCTCAAAACTGTTATTATTTACTTTATACCTAAGTACTACGGTTGCTGCCCCCGGGGGGGGGGGATACATAGAACTTGCCTATTGGGGACGTGGCCCCGAAATGAGTCTCGTTTTTTGAATTTTAGGTATAGCGTATATATTTAGGTATATATTTTCTGATAGCGGACCCCTAAAGAGATCAAAGAGAAAGCGAACTGTTGTTTCTCATTTAACAACCTAAATAACCTGAACATTGCGTTAATAATATGCTCTTATGTAAGCGGCAGATGTGTTTCTATGGTCAAAATACATGTTTTAATAAATCAATATACAATGCAACTTTTGGCTTACAAAATTGGAGATGCTCTTCTAATAGAGCAAATACGGTAACTGTTTTATTTGGAATAAACAGTGATGACAGAAATGGTACTTTGGTATAAATATGGGTATAGATTTTGCCACTATCCAGGTATAAAAATGGTCACACTTTAGAGCACTCAGGAGCACCTCCCTGCCCAGCTATGTATCAACTGCAGCTCCCCCCCCCCCCCGGGTTGTTGCCATTTGTCAAAACCATTCCCGGGGAACCATTATATTGCGACAGTCGGTGTGTTTTTAATGTTGTTCTTAAAATCCATTTATTGTAACGCACAGTATAACTTGATTGATTGATATAATTAAATATTCTAATAATGCATAATGCGTATATGCGCAGTAACATGCTCAGTAGTGAAACATTCGAATTCGTCTCGAGCTGCTTTAACTCGGGCTCTTCAGTACTGCCCTCAACGTCCATGATGTTATTGCATTATGGGATAACAAAAATGGCGACTTGCTGTTGTTAATTGGTTAATCGCTGCCGAAATCTACAAAAAAACATGGTTTTTCCTACTAACAGTCTAATAATACCGTTCATCGCATTTGTGGGAGTCATCATAGTTGGAGTTGAGGTAAGATTTTAACATATTGGGGCTAATCTCACCGTATAAAATGCATAATTAACGATGTTGTGCCGTCAAATCATTTCCGGTTTGGGGGTTGTTGTGCAAATTGTATTTCATTTCCAATAAAATTATACGGCACTGCATATGTGACCTGCTGCATTTAGATCTAAGTTTACCTGAATAAATACAATTTACTCATGGTTGACAGACGCATCATGCATCGCAGCTCACTGTAAAAGTAGTGATGGATGTATACGTTAGCTGTGGAAAGCTCCCTGAGGGCCGTTTTTTGGTCGTCGGTATCTGG